CTGCCTTCGGCTCAGGTCATGATCTCAGGGTCCTGGGATCGAGCCCCGCATCGGGCTCTCTGCTCAGCAGGGAGCCTGTTTCCTCCTCTCTCTCTGCCTGCCTCTCTGCCTGCTTGTGATCTCTCTCTGTCAAATAAATAAATAAAATCTTAAAAAAAAACTAAATTAAACTTGTCAACATTTATATTTAATATGAATGGTCTAAACAAACCAAAGGACAGATGGTTATGACTCAATTATGTACTTTGTACAAGAAACTCACTTTAAATATAATGATATCACAAGTTTAAAAAGAGGGACAGGGAAAGATATACTACACAAACACTAATTATAAGAAAGCTGGAGTTTCTGTATTAAAGTTTTTGCTTGAAAGCATAGAAAATTAATAGATACAAAAAGCGATTAAGAAGACATGAGGTGAACCATGAGAGATTATGGACTCTGAAAAACAATCTGAGGGTTTTGAAGGGGCAGGGGGCGGGAGGTTGGGGGAACCAGGTGGTGGGTATTGGAGAGGGCACGGATTGCATGGAGCACTGGGTGTGGTGCAAAAACAAGGAATACTGTTACGCTGAAAAGAAATAAAAAAGAAAAAAAGACAGAATCTCAAATGTGTACACTGATAACTGAGCTTCAAAATACATTAAGCAACAACTGACAGGATAGAAAGGGGAAGTAGACAAGTTGATAATTATAATTAGAGAATCCAGTACTCCTCTCTCATTAATCTTTGGAACTAATGGGGGAAACAAGCAAAGTGTACATAAAACCTAATGTCACCACAAAGCAACAGAATTTAACTGACATTTATGGAATACTCTACCAACAGTAAAATATGCGTTCTTTTAAATTGCACATGGATATACCATATTCTGTGTCACAAAACAAACTCAAGTGCATATCAAATAAATCACACAAAAATACATTCCCTGACATAAATGAATTAAACTAGAAACAAAGAACAGAGAGAGTGAGAAAGTCTCCAAACACTTAGAAATTAACCACCAAACTACTAAATATTAAATGAGTCAAGGAGGTCTCAACAGACATTATAAAATATATTGATCTGAATGAAAAGGAAAATACAGCATATCAAAAATGGTGGGAGGCAGTTATGTCAGTGCTTGGAGAGGTAGTAATAGCATTAAATGCTTGTGTTATGAAAGAAAAAGATCTCAACTGAATGATTTAAGCTTTTACCATANTTATGAAAGAAAAAGATCTCAACTGAATGATTTAAGCTTTTACCATAAGAAATTAGAAAAAGAAGAAAAAATAATTCAAAATAGCAGAAGGAAGGAAATAATAAAGATAAGAAGAGAAATCAATTAAAGGCAGAGATCTATAAAAACAAAATATTTGTAAAAGAACAATAAAATAGATAAATCTCTAGCAAAATTGTTGAGAGAGTGAGAGAGAGAAGAGAAATATTACCAATACAAGTAGTGAAAGTTGGAGTATCACTACAGACCCTACAGACATCAATAGGATAATAATGGCATACCACAAACAACTCTACACATGTCAGTTCTCCAACGTAGATAAAACAGACTAATTCCTTGAGAACCACTAACTACTAAAACTCACTCAAGATAAATTGAACAACTAGTAGAGACCTAGAAGTATTGACGGAATTGAATTCAGTCAGAGATGACTTCACTGGTGAGTTCCACCTAAGAAATAATGCCATGTTTACACAATCTCTTTCAGCAAATATTAGAGGAAATTCTTTCCAACATTTTATGAGGGCCCAACATTGCCCTGATACTCAAACTAGACAAAGAAAATGCAAAAAAAAAAAAAAATTAAGACAGAGATAACTATGCATCATCACAGATACATATGCAAAAATCCTCAACTACATTAGCAAAACATCTAGGAACATTAAAAGAATAATACACCATCACCAACTGGGGTTTACCCAGGACACAAGGCTGATTCAGTGCAGCTGACCCTGGAACAACATGGGTCTGAACTGGGCAGGTCCACTTATGTGCAGATTTTTTTCAATAAATACAGTACCGTCCTGTAAATGTGTTTTCTCTTCCTTGTGATTTTCTTAATAATATTTTGTTTTCTCCAGCCCACTGTATTGTAAGAATACAGTATATAATACTATAACATGCAAAGTCTGTGTTAATCAAACGTTGATGCTTTTTGGTAAGGCGTCCAGTCAACCTGTCCATTAGGCTATTAGTAGTTAAGTTTGGAGGGTCCAGAGTTACATGTGAATGTCCAACTGTGCAAAGGTCAGTGCCCCAACCCCCTTGTTGTTCAAGGGTTGACCATATTTGGAAATCAATCAATGTCATCTACCATATTAACAGTTTAAAGAAGAACAATCACACCAGATGCTTTTTTTGCATCCGTTGATATGAACATGATCATCTGACTTACTATGATTATGTCATGAATTAACATGATACATTCATATCAGATACCACTCACAATAAAATTCTTAGCAAACTATGAATAACAGGGAACTTCTTGATCCTAATAAAGATTATCTATATATGGACAGCTGGCAGCGTGGTTACTGGTGAAAAACTGAACCCTTTCCCTGCAGGAGTGGGCACGAGATAAGGATATTCAATCTCACCGCTTCTGTTCTGTGACTTCAGTCGCTCTGGACGTCCTAGCCAGTGCAGGAACCGAGGAAGGAAGGAAGGGAGGAAGGAAGGAAGGAAGGAAGGAAGGAAGGAAGGGAGGAAGGAAGGGAGGGAGGAAGGGAGGAAGGAAGGAAGGAAGGGAGGAAGGGAGAAAGGAAGGGAGGAAGGAAGGAAGGAAGGGAGGAAGGAAAGGAGGGAGGGAGGAAGGAAGGAAGGAAGGGAGGGAGGAAGGGAGGAAGGGAGGGAGGGAGGAAGGGAGGAAGGAAGGAAGGAAGGAAGGAAGGGCATCCAGGTTGGAAAGCAAGAAAGCAATCTATTTGCAGATACACGTGTGATCGGCAGACAAGTTTAGAGCAGCTCTGTTTGTGAACGACCGAAGCTGGAAACCACACTGACATTCTCCAGTGCCAAAGAAATGGTGGCCCGATCCACAATAAGTCATGGCAAAATGAATGAATCTTGAATTCCTCTGAGTGAGAGAAGCCAGTCTCAGAAGGTTACCTACAGTGTGACTCCGTTTATATGACACTTGGAAAAGGCACAACTGTAGATCACAATGACCAGGGCTTAGGGGCAGGAGGAGGGTGTGACTCTAAGAGAACAACCCGAGGGAGGAGGGGAGATGGAGCTGTCCTTTATCCTGATTTTGGTGGTGGTTATACAGCCCTATGCGTGTATTAAAGTTCATTTAACTGTATGGACCCCCAAAGTCAATTTGACTTAATGGTAATCTGTAAATAATATCATCTTCTAAAAAACGCAGGGTATTTCCAGTGATTATCTGTCCACTCAGTTGCAGTCTTGTCCATCTTAATCCTTGAAAGAGTCACTATCTGGATATTCACATNCTTGTCCATCTTAATCCTTGAAAGAGTCACTATCTGGATATTCACATCACAGCTATATGTTTGGAAGAACCCCCAAGTGAAGGCTTGCATAGATAACGAATGCATTTAATAATGGTAAAAATGGTAATAATGGTAAAAAAATTTGCTAGAAATACAAAATATGGTTGTTATTCTGTTTCCTTGCTATTGTCACTGTCTTTTTTTTTTTTTTGAAACAGATTCATTTTGGAATTCCGCTTCCTTCAACACCGACACCTCGTACCTTCACTTCCCTACGTTCCGTGGAGAGCTCAGTGCTGACGTGTCTTTCTTCTTTAAGACGACAGCGCCTTCTGGGGTGTTTGTAGAGAACCTGGGGATCACAGACTTCATCAGGCTAGAGCTGCATGGTGAGTCGCCCCCTGGGCAAAGCCACCAGGCCTCAGTATATAGCAATAACCCTTCTGGGAACCTAATTCCCAAAGTACCACTATGCTTTCTTCATCACTTGTATTCCTTTAGTACATACTAAAGTTCTAATACCTTTTTTAAAAAGATTTATTTATTTGAGAGAGAGCAGGGTTGGGAGGGGGGAAGAAGGAGACAGAGTCTTAAGCAGACTCCACGCTGAGCGTGGAGCCCAGTGCAGGGCTTGATCCCATGCCCCTGAGATCACAACCTGAGCTCACACCAAGAGTCGGACGCTCAACCAACCTTACCACCCAGGAGCGCCTAAAGCTCCATTATTTTATAAATCCTTATTTTTAATAGAGAGGGAAAACAGTGATTCACAAAACACACAGCAGTCTGTCCAATTCTGTGCTGCCCTAACTGTGTGTGCAGTAAGGATCTTTTAAACCAAACTGGTCCGATAACTACTCCATAAATTGCAGAATCATTTCATGTAATTGACTCGCCACGTCGTTCACACATGTATGCAAGGCTCGGTTCCTTACTTCAAAATTTCACGGAGGGCTTTTTAAATAAAGCACATGAGGATTCCACCCACCTTGAAATAAATCCATGCTGATAGAGCTCTACTCCTTAAGGTTTAGCAAGATGAGCATTCTCTGAGGAGGAATAGGTAAAATGGCTTTGTTTCTCTTCCCCCAGGACACACATTTCTGTTGCCCTCCTAGCCAGCTCAGAGTGACATTGGTCAGCAGCAGTGTCACCGTCCGCTTTCATAAGGAGCCTGTCGTGCCGCTGCCCTCCTGTCTCTTGAGACTGAATTTCCTCCCTGCGGAATGAACCGAGCTACTCTCCTCTTTGTGTTNTGTGTTTGCAGCTCCTGCAGAAGTGACCTTTTCCTTCGATGTGGGGAACGGGCGATGTGAGGTCACGGTGCGGTCTCCCACTCCCTTTAACGACAACCGGTGGCACCACGTGAGGGCTGAGAGGAACGTGAAGGAGGCAACCCTTCAAGTGGACCAGCTCCCCAGCAAGACGCGAGCCGCACCCACGGACGGCCATGCCCGCCTGCAGCTCAACAGCCAGCTCTTCGTGGGTGAGTGTGGCTGCCCTCTGGCTGCGCCGTGCTGGTGGACACAGAGAAGACTCGAGCCGTCCAGCCGTGATGGCAGCAGGTGCACGCGGCTCCTGTCGGCGCCGCGGACTGAGAGCTCCAGCAAGAGTCGGGCTCTCTTTCCACAGACGGTTGTTAATACGGTTTCCGTAGTGTGTTGTTCAGAATCATGGTTTCCATAGATTTCCCAGGTCACGGATGAGATAATGGAGGTCCAGAGAGGGCGAGTGACATAGGCTAGAAACTGAAATAGAAGAGAAACCCAGTCCCCAGTGGGTGGATTACCAGGCTGGACCTCAACAGTATTGATGACCTGTGTTTGCTTTAGTGACTTCTTATCAATGCTATTTATAAAACGGTTAGCAAATTTCATCCAGAACTCCTGGCTTCACTTCTCAGTGCAGTCGGAGAAGCTGCCGTGTGACTGTCCCCGAGTTCTCCCGTGTCCCCTCTAACACAGACCGAAGGAGGACTCACATGGCTGTGTCGCCCTCCTTGCCGACACCGGGGTCAGAACTGGGATGGCTCCATTCTTGCTGCTGGTGCTTTAAGGATGAACTCTGGGTAGTGGAAGTCTTCTGTTTCATTTACTTGCTTATTTTTTGTAAGACTTTTTTTCTTTTTCTCAAAGGGAGAGATAAGTTTTGCTACATTACTTTTCAGACAACTCTATTCTAATTTGGAAAGCAAGCTAATCAATGAGGTAGCTCTTCCTTGGTCATTTCTCATGCGTTTTCAAGTAAATAAGGAGCTGGTCCAATTAGGAACTAATCTAAATCACAGATTAGCCCGCAGTCTGCTTTGTCAGAGGACACCGACAGCTTCTGGGGGCTGTGCAATGCAGGGAGGTCTGTGTGTGTGTGTGTGTGTGTGTGTGTGTGTGTGTGTGTGTACAACCCATGACACAGAAAACTCCAAGGCTTCACGTCAAGTCATCAAACTGTGATGCAAATTAAACAATTCTGTTTTCTGATTCGTAATCCTGAGGAACAAGGAATGGAATTTTTAGGAACCAAGTTGTCATGAATACCTACCTGGGATTGACATCCTCACGGAAACAATGTTTCCAGAGCGTGGGAAGCTGGTGGAAAGTGCTGATCTATGTGCCCCAGGCCCACTGAGGCAGAATCCCTGGGAATGATCCCCAACTCTGTTTTAGCAAGTGCTCCAGGTGACCCCTGCGCCCCCAGATTTGACATTAGGCTTGTGTGAGGCATGATAGAAAGAGAGAGAGCTACTCAGTGTTTAGTGACTGTTACCCTCCTGACCTCAGAGCTGGCAGGCTGGACCGAGGCAGGCCTGAGCCTGGGTATCATTAATTTAAAAAAAGTTTTTTTTTAAGATTTTTAAAATTTATTTAACAGAGAGAGAGAGATCACAAGTAGGCAGAGAGGCAGGCGGGTGGAGGGGAAGCAGGCCCCCCAGTGAGCAGAGAGCTCGACGTGGGGATCAATCCCATGATCCTGGGATCATGACCTGAGCTGAAGGCAGAGGCTTAACCCACTGAGACACCCAGGTGCCCTGAGCCTGGGTTTTACCCTACTTTGTTTCTTTGCCTGCTCCTCAATTCCTTTTTCATGGCATTGTTAATGGGAGCATTTCTAAGAAAGGATGGTATTATATATATAATTTGTTATTATATATATGTATTATATTATATATAACAAGTGCATAACAAGTATGTAACAAAATATGTATGACAGATTCATATACAAATTATAATGTATATTACATATTAACTCTATACAATGTATATACATTGCATGTTACAAATTTGTAATATATATTGTATTGCAAAGATTTTCAACTATCTAACTTTATTGTGCCCATCACAGTTTATACACTTAAAAAGGAGAGAAAAAGTTTATACACTTTAAAAAGGAGAGATTTTTTTTTAATGAAGGAACCGACTTAAAAATGCACAAATCTTTCTAAATAGAACTTGAAGAAGTACTTTTTAGAGTAAATATTTACCAAGCTCAACTCCAAAAATATTTCCGTCTGTGATTTATTTGGTATCGTTTGATGATTCTTAGTATGAGGTCACAGCCTAGGTTTTCAAAATCGCATGTGTTAGTAAAGCTTCCGGCGGGTCCCTTTTCTGATGTGATTGGTCGACCCGCAGTTGGACGTGCGGTGGAAACGCCACCGAGACCCTCAGGGCATAGCTGTAGTTGTTTCCCTTGTAGGCGGGACAGCCACCAGACAGAGAGGCTTCCTGGGGTGCATTCGGTCGCTGCGGTTGAACGGGCTGGCCCTGGACCTGGAAGAAAGGGCCATGATGACGCCAGGCGTGGACCCCGGCTGCCCGGGACACTGCGGCAGCTACGGACACCTGTGCCGCAATGGAGGGAGATGTAGGGAGAGACCCAGGGGCATCACCTGCGACTGTACCGTCTCTGCGTATGACGGGCCATTCTGCGAGAGCGGTGAGTGTACCCTGGGCAGGACGGGGAGAAGGAGGCACCTCATTTGGCTGTTTGCCTCGTGTTTCTGGCATTTGACCCTTTCTCTACGAAAGGATAAGGCAGTTCTCTCTGATCAGCTAAAGGAGAGTTGTTTCTCTCCCAAATTTGTCCATTTATGATTCTGTTCTTGAGAAGCTTGTGATGACTTCTGTTGGATTCAGCATCATTGACACGACACTGAGACAATAACTCTAAGTGTATGTTTACACTCGGCATTTAATGCTGTGTAACTCTGAGATGGAGCATTTTGTGGGCCGTAATAAAATATTGTTACTCAGTTCAACGTCATGTGAATATACATGGGGATAAGTTATCTTTTTATGCATACTTGATTATCTTTTTAATCTGAAATATTTCTAAATTAAAAAAAAAACAGCAAAGCATGACATTCTTGTTTTCTGTCTTGAGAGACTAAGGGTTAGAGATGGTGTATAAATACATGCAGAGAAGAGCTTCGCCTTGACTTCATGCTAACATAACAAAAATGAGTGTCATTCCAGAGATTTCTGCGTATTTTGGAACTGGCTCGTCCGTTATCTACGACTTTCAGGAACATTCTAACTACACCGCCAGCAAGAACTCAAGCTCCTTTGCAGCTTTACTTCATGAGGGTGGGACGCTGGCTGGAGAAGTGGTCACACTGAGCTTCCGGACCACAGGGACACCCAGCTTACTCCTCTATG